CCTATTCCTAAACATTTTCCACACCTGTTTTAGCAACAAAGATTTTATACTCTAAGAAAATCTGGATTTAACTTTGCAAAAGAGGTCTTTGTCTTGGAAGCTGTGCCCACCTAGTCCACACTTTATCCGCGCACATTATATTCCAAAAGATGTTGGAAGACAGGCTAGCACAACAGGTTGATGGATTTACATATTAGAAAAGCTTTAACACTCCAGGGAAGGTAATTCCTTACCAGGTCTTTCCAGAAGTTACAGGGATTTTTACTTTTGAACTTTTGCTCTACAAATATGAGAGAGAAAAAAAAAAAGAAGAGTACTGAACTGTTTCATTTTGCTAAGTAAGTTTCTTTCCCAGTCTTTGAGACCTAAAGTATTTTTAAACTGGTCCGAGTCACCAGGTAGTGTCTGTTGCCACCTTGTGGCAGCAAACACACACCCCAGGTACAACCTTTTTTTGTCAGCAAAAGAAATTAATTAGAAGCAATAAAAAAAGTTAAGAGTCTTGTACAAAAACGGAGCCACATTCATAAGTAACAGATGGGAACTGGAACAATTAATTTTACAGTACAGCCTGTGTTTAGGAGGAAGGATGAAGAAAAACAAGCATATAAAAAATAAGGAAATACAGACAATGACTGACAGCAGAATTGGAGAACGATAGTTTCAGTGTTTTGCAACACAAATTAATATTCTTCAAAGCTATTTTCAAAAATAGGGAATTGCAACCCATGCTATCTGGAAAGCCCCAAAACTTGGATGCCAAATGAAAACGTGAGCAACCTATCCCTGAAGCAGAAGGCTGCCTAGCCATTGTCATTGCTCCCCTCTGCCCTACTTTCCTTCTCCCCTAAATGGGGACAAGCACATGGGAAAGCACATCAACGTTAACATTATGAAGGAGGACTCAGTCTCGACCGGTGGAGCCTGAAGGGATGAATGGGTTGAAAAAGGCCTGAAAAGCAAGAAAACTTCTCAGCTTGCAGTGTTCTCTCCCCTAGTATCTCTCTCTCTCTCATCACTGCGTTGTCTCTGTATTAATACTGAAAATGCAGTAGTAATCCTGATTTACAGGTCACTATTCTTGAATCACACAGCAGTTCTGTCTCTGCTGGACATCATACAGATGCTATATATGCTGCCACACACATACACAGAGGGCAAGTTTCTAGCACAGCTTAAGATAAAATGCAGGATTTCCCAATCCCTCTGTCTATGCCCTTCCTAAACTAGCAGAGCTAATTTTTTTTTTTAGTAGGAACAGAAGTGAAAGAAGTGTGAGAATCCTTACAGGAAGGGATGTATTTAACAGTGGCATATGTCAGTGTGTATGACTAACAATTCACATCCTCTGTTATCATCACCACTGTGAACACTGAGGGTAACCACACAGGTGGTATCTTTATTTCACAAGATTAAAGATACAGTACAAAATGAATCTGTACATCTTTCTATTAACAGAATTTGTTTACAGAATTATATTACATTTGACCAGCCTTTATACTGATTTTAAATACAAAATAAATTTACAAAACTCCTACAAGACCCTTTAAAGAACTGCAGCTGAAAAAAACAAAGGGTTCCCCCAATAGTCCCTATTTGCCATGTGCATTTGCAGTAGTTCAAATCAAACTAAATCTCTTCAGTTTAATATTCTATGAAACAAAAATAGAATTTCAGTTCATTGTTGCCTATCTAAAAAGGAAGCAACTTGCAAAGGTGAGTGTGATTCCCCTTTTATAGGCCAAAACTAGCATATAATAGGTGGAAATAAGATAATGCATAGTCTTAAAAAGTCCTTTCACAAGCCACATTTAATGTTCTTCTCCAGAAAGAATAACATTTGATAGCTTTTTTTTTTGTGTTGGTTTTTCTTTTTAGTAAGAGCAGCTGATTTATGGAAGATGACTAAAAAGTGAATAAAACTGTCTCAGAAGAGTCTCAGTGGGATGTTTGTATTAAAGACCTTATCTTCTATTACATTGTCCCATGATGGACAATATAAAGCAAGGAAAATTATTTCAACAGACAGCTCTGGGACAAGTTTCACCAGAGTGATGAACTAGAATCCTATTTGCTCAACAGCTCAGTGTTTCCTTCAACCAACCAGAACAGGCAGTGTCTTTGATTAATAATTTGAGATGCAGCACATTTCCCTCCATATCTTTCCAGAATTTTCCTACATATAGAAATCTCACCAGCAATAGTTACTGCTCTGTAGTTCCATTCTCTGTTCAGGGAGAGAAGCACATGTGTCTGGGAAGGTCAAACAGGCAGGCTCTGGCCTATGTTACTACAGACAACACATACAACTCTGCAATTCAAACCATGCTGAACACACCCAAGAAAGGCTTCTCTCAAATGAAGTTTTCCTTCTAAAATACTCCTGCATACAATCTATAATACAACCTATGTGCTACCAAAAGGGAAAAGTACTTCCCTGCAGTAAACTGAGCAATCCAGCTCCTTTAGATAAAAGGATGCTTCATAAACTGAGTGCACAACAAGAAACATATTGCTAGTAAGAGTTAAATATACTTCCCTCAAAACCTATGTTTCAGAACAGAGTAGCAAGGGATTGTCACAAAAACTTTAGTCATGGTGTAGATAACTAATTTAGAAAACTTACTCATTTCTTTAGTCCCTGAGTTAACTTGCCATTACTTATGGTAAGTACCTTTTTTTCTACTACCACTTTGTTCAAATGAATGTCATCTGAAAAAGTTACTGGTAGTAATTCGGTGGAAGGGAAAAAAGCAGGAGAAAGACTTCCTTATTGCTTCTTCATAAAGCAGTTCTTTAAAGTGAAACAACTTGCTGATCTTCAATCATTTTCTTCTGCTGATTTCTTGGATGTAAAATGCATCATTCAGTGAAAAGTCATCTCTAAGACTGTCACACAGCAGCAATGATGAGAGATTCTCATGCAAATAGGATAGAGCTTTTAGAATTTAGTTCTAATAGATCAATCAACCAAAACATTTTAATAATGCAGTAACAAAATTGTTAAACATCCTAAGAGACCAATACCAATGAATCAATGGTATTTAACTTAAAAAAGATTTTCCATATAATATTTAATTTATTCATGCCAAGCTAAAAAGAGCTATTAAATACTTCAAAGGGAGTGTTCAGAAGTCACAGATATCTTAGAAATGCAGCTGGAGAGTGCTGTACATCTTAGACACTACATTTAAGTTCAATACTGTTCCATCTGCTAATGATGATTAAGACTGAAGAAGACATTTCCCTATCCCATGCTGCACCCCTCCACACTGAAATCAAAGATTTGTCTTCACATAACCAGCATAAGCATTTTGAAGTACTGAGAAGTTCTGCCTAGACTTTGATACTAGTCATCCATGAAATTTCCATTTTAAAAACAATGGATTGCTTATCTTCTCTCCCAAACTTACAGATCTATTGTGCAATGGTCATCCTACAAATGTACCAAGTATGAAACCATCCCAGAATCTCAATTCTTAATAAAGTGTATTGATATGTTGTTGCCAATCTGCTGGAAAAATATTTGCATGAAAGGAAGCCCTTAACCCTTTAAGCACAACAGCTTTTGTCAGAAAGCAACTAAAGCCTCCTGTATTTCATTCAGCTTTAAGACAGTATATTCAGAGGGTTTAATGCTAGTACAGAAACAAGTATTTAACTGCCACTGGTAAATAACAGACACTTCTGCATTTCGTGCTTCCAAACTACTCCCTCACTGCTTCCCATCCCCAACCCGGAAATTATTGTTCAATGAAAATCATTACTCAGTGATGATTCCTCTTGCAGTTTTAAATCAACAGTCCACAGGTCATATTCTTTACACTCATCAAAAGGCCTTTGCACTGACCTGGTGGCATCAAGAAGCCATAAACCACTGGTCTTCTTTCTCTTTGGATTTTCTTGTTACAAGGGGTCCTTAAGACGGCACAGCCAGAGACATTGTGGCTTTCTCATGTATGTCAGGTGCAAGAGAGGTTGGTGACAGCCAAAGCACTGTTGTAGCTTTGGAGTAGCATCACTGGCATAAGCCCATGCCCTTTTGTACAGAGTATGCATCTTTGGGGCTCTTTTTTGTAGATGCATTATTAAGCAGATGCATGCATGAGATAGATATACATACATTTCCTTCTTGCAGTGCAAATCACTAACAGGATTGCTGAAAATTAAATACAGAACTTCCATCTGTAAAAGCAAACAAGTCAGCTAATTCATTGAGATTTCTGGCTCTGTCCTTTCTCCAGTGTCCATAATAATACTGGTGCTTTCTGCAGTCTAGACTCAGCCTCTTTGAAAGAGCAAATTTAAATAATTTAGGAACACTACCAATTTGGGTTTACGTCCTGAAGTATTGCAAAGTACTCAGGCTCCTGAAAGTTTTAGAAGTGAGATTTGGGCACTGTGCGGACAGTTTTCAATTGATGAGCTTACAGACCCAATCCAGCTCATGGGCTACATACCATTTGCTGGGAACTGCCTAGTCTAAGGGGAATGGAGGAAAATAATCAAAGCGAAAAAGCACAAATAGAGAGTGGCATGTTTGCTGGCTTAGTTTTACAGAGTTTATCTATCAGCTATGTTAAACCATCCAAGACAGCATTAAAGACCAAAGTGTAAGAATTACTAAGAAATCATGAAAAAGACTGCAAAAATACTTGGGATGCAGATCAGACTATAAGTTCGTAACAACTCTAGTCTTTTTAGAGTTTGAATATAGTTCAGTTTCTTGGACTTAAATTGGCCATAAAATTATTTATTTTTATTACTTTTATATAGGGAACTGCTATCAAGCAGGCAAAAACCTTCCACTGCTAGCCTTCTGTCTCTCTAGAGATGAAAAGGACTCTGAATAAAAAGGAACTAGATACAGCAGGCAACATTTTTGTAGTAGCACTCTTGTGTTTCCATGAAAAAGCCATAGTGTTATTCCATTGGCACTGAAATAACATTCAAATCAGTTTCAAAATAATTTTCTTATCCCTGAAAAAAGGCATCATTCTAAGCAGCTTTCAAACTTTTTTTTTTTATCACTTCCTTGTGCCTCTTTTGGGGGAGGGACTGTTGATCCAAAGTCCTAAATCACAATGAAAATTGTTCCTTTTGGAAAAATCCAGTTCTTTCAGTGAGGCTTTTGTTGCTATTGTGGTGGTTGATGCTCTGGTGGTGGCTCTTGTTGAGGCATAGCTGGCCGCAGTCCTGCTGGTCTGGGAATTGCTTGATGTTGCCTTTGTCTGTAAGCTATAATTGTTCCCAGTAGCAAGGCGATGATAGTCATAAGGTAAAGGTCCCACTCAGGCCCCAGCAGCTGGTCCATATCAATATGTGAGAATACCTCCCTTATCTAAGAAAGAAGAAGTCCACATCATTATGTCAAAGAACACAAATGCTAAGTTCCTTTAAGTTTGACTTGTAACATTTTTCATGTACAAGT